ACCGAAGTGGCACCTATTTATCTACTTGCAATTTCTTGCTTTCGAACTGCTAGGTTGGCAGGAGCTGGGGCCAGAGACGGGAGCTCACTCCGTCATGTGGTGCCCTCGGGTCTTGACAGAGCAGCAAAAAGTTGCCCCGGGGAGGAGCGGAAGGACTTCAGAGGCCAGGCCGATGGCCACCCTGTGAAGCAGCAGCCCTTCCTGTCGGCATTTTGTCTAGGAGGGCGATGAATTCATTTCGTTGAAGCGTTTGCGCATCAGATAAACCATCCAAGCTGCAAATTAGTCATTCCTCATGACCTCGCTACGCCAGCCTTTCTCCAAGGTGCCTGGGTGTGGCCCTGTCCCCCCCCCAAACAAGTGTGTGATTGATTGATTGATTGATTGATTACCAGGTATTTCCCAACCCAGAGCTGGCCCTGTTGCAGAAGGAGAGTCCCCTCCTGTGCTGCTTCCTCCTCCTCCTCAGAGCCTCTCGTACATCTTTCGTTCTTAAATACGTCCCCCTTTGCCGTTCGCCGCATCTTGCGTCTGTGCAGTGGCAAAGGCAAGAGAAAGAGGCGGAAGAAACGGCTCACCCGGTAAAGGTAAAGGTAAAGGTTTCCCTTGCTGGAAAGCCAGTCGAGTCCGACTCTAGGGTTGCGGTGCTCATCTCCATTTCAAAGCCGAAGAGCCAGCGCTGTCCGAAGACGTTTCCATGGTCATGTGGCCGGCATGACTAAACACCAAGGCGCACGGAACGCTGTTACCTTCCCACCGAAGTGGCACCTATTTATCTACTTGCAATTTCTTGCTTTCGAACTGCTAGGTTGGCAGGAGCTGGGACCAGAGACGGGAGCTCACTCCGTCATGTGGTGCCCTCGGGTCTTGACAGAGCAGCAAAAAGTTGCCCCGGGGAGGAGCGGAAGGACTTCAGAGGCCAGGCCGATGGCCACCCTGTGACCCAACTGACTTCAGGAATAGGATTTGAACCCACATCTCTGTTCACAGTCTGTTCACAGCACTGTCATTTATGACAGTATTTACCTTTTTTACCAGATCTTACCATTTGATGTCTGAAAGACATTCGAACCCAGATCTCAACGGTGCCGGTCTATTCACAGCACTGTCATTTATGACAATATTTACCTTCTTTACCAGATCTCGGCATTTGATGTCTGAAAGACATTCGAACCCAGATCTCCATGGTCCACGTTACTGTCATTTATGACCATATGTACCTTCTTTACCAGTTCTTACCATTTTGGAATCTGAGACTTGCCAGGTGCCTACAGTGGGATACAGGGCTCCAGACCCGGGAACAGGTTCTTGGCTTCTCACTGCAACGTAACATGCTTTTCCTTTTACGGTCTGCTTAAATATTACAGCTTAGTAATACGGGCCTTGTCCTGACAAACGGCATGCTTCCTTTGAGTAGCTCAGCGGCACAGCTTTACAGCGTTTCTTCCTTTTTTCCTCCCAGATTGAGCTGCAGAAGAGGAAGATGAAGGAAAAAGAGCTCTTTATATTGCAGCTTCTAGAAAAAATATCTTTCCTGGAAGGAGAGGTAAGCCTTGTGCTTGGCTGATTTTCCAAGAGACGTCCTTGCTGCTGATTCTTTGGATGATCAGTTCTCCTTCTCTGCTCTCTCTCTCAGCTCACCCCCCCCACACACACACACACACCGTATTCTCCTTCATTGGCATTGTGCGCATCCAGTTTTTAAATTCTTTTTGTATTTTGTTGTGGTGGTTTACATCAAATGGCAAGGCGGCCTGGGCAGGACTCACCTTCCCACACAGCCTGTACCTCGCCTAGGTTTGAGGAGCTTAACGCCTAATAAATATTAGCCTCTCAGGATTATCTGTTGCACAAGTTGGTATTGATGCCCAAATGTAAGCTTGTAAACATTCCAAGAGAAGGGTATTTTCACTGCACCTGTTAGTGGTTCGGTGTGGGAGATGGCTGCTGCTGAAAACCTAAGGTGGGTGCTGCTGGAAACGTTTACGTGAATACATGAAATTGCCTTGTACTGAACCAGGTCATCGAGGTCAGTATTGTCTACCCAGACTGGCAGTGACTCTCCAGGGTCGCAGGCAGAGGCCTTTCAAGTCACCTACAGTTCCGCAGGGCCTGCAAGACGGAGCTCTTCCACCAGGCTTTCGACTTAGGAGCCGCCTTCACTACTACCACCAACAATTGTAGCTATAGATCCTGGCCGTTAATTTTGACATCTGGCCTGTGCCGCCGCGTGACTTAGGGAGATCACTGAGGTGAAAAACTGTCTGTCTGTCTGCACTCTTCAGTAGGCCATCTGAAGTACCTAAGGAAATATTCCCAGCACTTTATGATTCTAAGAGCTTATTTGTAATTGGATTGCTTAAATGTTTTTAATATGGATTTTAATGGTTATTTATGTACCAACCAATGTAAGCCGCCCTGAGCCTGTTTCCGGAGAGGGCGGAGTACAAATTGAATGAATGAATGAATGAATGAATGAATGAATGAATGAATGAATGAATGAAATACCTGGAGAGGCCAGGGATCGAACCCAGGATCTTCTGCATGCAAAGCAGGGGTTCTACCACTGAGCCACGGCCCTTCCCAATTGAGAGATGCATTGCTTTCTCTGGAGAGGCAGCATGCATAAATAAATAATAAAAAGAGGAGGGGGAATAATCAGGGATCATGCTGGAAAACTGTAGTTTTTTTTAATCAGAGTGTAAACAAACTCTGGCAAAGAAACATCCGGTCCTACAATGCCAAGACCACGGCCATACGACCCGGAAAATCTTACCAACAGCTAATGAACTCTGGCCGTGAAAGCCTTTGACGACATATTGTAGCTTGAAGAGTTGTTTTGAGAACTTTCTGTTGCTGGGTTTTTGTTTGTTTTCAGAACAAAGAACTGCAAGACCGTTTGGACTACTTGATGGAAACGCAGCCGAAGACTGACGTAGAAACCAGAGACATTGCAGTGGGCTGTGATCTCCCGCTGAGGTATCTGGGCCTGAATCTCTTCTGGCCCGTCTCCTTCCTTAGCCCGCCCCTTCGACAGGCTGAGCCGGAGTGGAGGGCCTGCAGCTCCTCTTCACGTGTGGATTTCTGAAAGTTACGGGGACGGTTGGAGGAGGGGGAGAAGCCTGAGTGTGTGTTCCCCCGGGGGGAGCTCTGCCCCCTTCGAAGGAGAACAAGGAGGAAATTATTGCGTAATGAATTTTAATAGGTTTGCTGTTCTCGCTTGCCAGAGGTACCTTAGAAGTATGCAGGGCAAGACATTTTCACTGGAGCCATTTAACGAGGCACCAGCAAAATTACTCATTCCTGATTTTTACCCTCCTAACGTAACAGCCAACTATGCCGGCTGGCAGAATTTCTGCCTTCTCGAAATGGTGCTAATTGGAAAAGTTATGAACATTTCTGAGCGTGCTGACCGGCGGTCACGCTGTGTTTCCTGGGGACTCCGGAGGTGCCAGAGCATCTTGATGTGGTTAGACTGGAAAGTTCTCCTTGGCCTTGACTCTGCTTCACTTCGCAGAGCTCATTTCTTTTCCTTTTTTTGGTATTTTTTATATTTTTCGTGTGTTTGTGTTAGTATGAGTGTGTTTGTGTGCCCCTGGAAGTCATGGCGACCTCTGGTGACTGACCCCTACTGAGGGCCTGAAGGGTAATTCGGAGAGCTGGCTGAATAGAGTCTGCCCCCACCTCCTACCTCTGGTATTCCTTGGAGGTCTCCCATCCCAGTACTTGCCAGAGTCGGCCCTGCTTAGCTTACGAGATCGGGCTTGCATGGGCTTATCCAGGTCAGGGTGCAGAGCTCCTTATCTCTTTGCTTGATTTTCATACGGAAATCAACGTAATGAATTTTTGTGGGTGTGTGGAAAGCACGGAGTCTGTTCGTGCACCGTGGCAGATGCTTCCAGCTGTGACTTGGCACTCTCTGGCAAAGAAATCGGGAGGCATTTTCCATGCTGTTTGAGCTGCTCAAGGGCAGCATAATAAGTTGGATGGAAGCAGGGAGACGGGCAGGGAGGGGACCCCAAGACGGAGGGCATGCTCACCTGCCCCTCCCTTCTGGGGGTTGCAGGTACTGGGACCAGCCCAAGGAGGAGGGAGGGAGGGGTCAAGCAGTAGGGAGCCATGGGCAATGCTCCCTCTAAGCTGTGGAGTCCTGTGAGCAAAAACTCTACTTTGTGAGCTCCTGGCATTAAAGCTGTGAGCGAGCGATTTGGCTCCTGCATCAATTAGTCTGCTCTGGAGCCGTCCTTCCTGAGCGAAGACAAAAATGTGTGAGCTGGAGGCTAAAAAACTGTGAGTTAGCTCACACTCACTCAGCTCAGAAGGAGCACTGGCCATGGGGACCAGGAGAAGCAGGAGCTTGTCCCAGGTGTCTTCTTTCTCCCACCCCAAATCGACAGTCAGCCACCAGCTCTCTGAGAATCATACCTACACGTAGTGCAGCTGTTTACGGTCTGATTCAAAGCCTCAGCAATGTGTGAAGCAAACGTATTGGTTGAACCTTGAAGCATCCAACAACCTGTGCTCCCTCCCTCTGCCCCCCAGCACTGAACAGAGCAGCAGGCCTCTGGTGTCCGTGCCAGCAAGGAACTACACGCCGTTCAAGAGAGTCCTGGAGTATTCCTCGAGAACAGGTGCGTCTGCTGACCAGGCAGACCCAGGCCTTCCTCACAAGTGAGCAAGCCTCTCGTGCCTCTTCTGCATCTGGAAAGACGGAGGAGGAGGAGGAGGAGGTGTGCCACGCAGTGCAGCTGGAGCTGCCCAGAGCCTCTGGGTAAGCCTGGGTTTGAAGCTGCTCTCGGCGGCTGCTCGTTTGCCGGAGAGCAGAAGGTGGCGCTTCCTCACAAGGGCCGTGTTTTAAGCACTCTTGAGGAGCGGGACTCTGGTGCTCCGTGCCGAACAGCCCAGCACTCCAAACTGTGAAGGGAAACACATTTATCTTTAGTATATTCCTGAAGTTGGTGAGTGGCAGCCCTCTTTCTCCCTTAGGGCGTTCGGTCTTGCTTGGAAGGGTGATCATGCAACTGCCAAAGACGATTTTGTAGCTGATCCTGGTCTAGAATGGGTGCGGGGCGGGGGGCATGGGAGGCCTTTCTGCTTCTGGCTCAAAGAATACTTACTCTCTTGGATTGTGGTCCCCCTTAAGAGGCCAGGGCGGCCACCGTCTTGAGCACCTGCCGTACATTTCAGGCCTCCGCCCCCACCCTTCCCCTCCTCAGACCTTGGTGAAATGGATGTCGTCGGTCTGTAGATTCCGACCTTAAGCTCAGCCATGGTGTTAATGGTCAAGTTTACATCGGTGACCAGTAACCTCAAGATCTCCCCTGAAGACCAAATTAGATGTTCATGAATGCATCTTCTTTGGGGTGGTTGTTTTTTTTAAGTAGCGATTCCTCAGTGCCTCGATTTGGATTGGAGAGACCGTAGAGAGAAAAGTTGTTTAGTCCTGATCAAATTAGACCTCTGTTCTCCTGCGCTCTTGCTTGCCTGGAAAGGAGGTCAACAGGCAGGCCTCTTCTGCCCTTGGCGTGTCTTCTCCTGAGCTCTCAATGAGGGGTCAGCAGCTTTGAGAGGTGAAGCCACCCAGGTGCCTTCCCCCCACCTCTATATCTCCAGCCAGTCCCCTCACAGCGGCCACTTCCCTGTTAAAGCCCTGCCACTGGTCCGTCCCCCCCCCCCCCCCCCCCCCCCCCCGATTCCCATTTTTATATCTTTTTGTCTTCCCACACCACCAGTCTCCAGGAAATGTAGTATCAGTTCTCCCGAGTATTTTAAGAAACGAACGTTTTTACACACTCCTATTTAACCTTCCTCCTATTTAAGAAAACACATTGCTTCGTATATTTAAAATGTTGTCATAGTGATCCATTGAAGTACCGTGAGAAATCCTTCGTCCTGACGTTTCAGCTGGATGTCGATCCCGCCAGTGCCTTGTGTCTAGTCCCGTGTTGTGTCAGGTGTCGTTGGACAGAAGGGCCCAGCCGTCCCTCAGGCATCCTCCTTGTGTGTTTTGTGTCTTTATTCTGTTCTCGGTTGAACAGTTTGCTGTCTTCATGAACTTGCACTGTTTGATAAGCAGAGGAAGTGAGCACTCAGCAGGAGGGAACCTGGTTCACTGCAGGTCGCTTGAAGCGCAGTCCGTGCGGAGCTAAACCCTTAGAAGGGCATCCCTCTCCCTAGGATTGCACTGTCGGAGAAGGCCTGAGGGCACACTGTCCAGCCAGTGCTGCTGCAGGGCACAATGCCGGCTCTCGGGAGACAGCCTCCTTTCTGGGGTGGGAATTAGCAGCCCTGGAAGAGCTTCACTGCCTGCCCGCAGGGACTTCCCTCCTTTCTAGTGGAATTCTTTCCCTTGTGATCCCAATACGCTGTGCTAGCCAAATGAAGCATTGTGCTAACCACGCAGCTGCCTCCAAAACCGGCAAGGATGCGTTTAGCCACCCCGTTTGTGACGTCACCTCGTTGGCCTGCCCCCCATCGCACCTGCCGTGGAGCTTTGCAAACAAGGGATGGTGCTGGTGGTCTCCCGGATGCTATGGAGGCGGGGAGGGGGCCAAAAATGCACAGTCGCTTGTTTGGGCAGCCGGCCCTAAGCTATTTTTTGGAACAGTGTTCGTTTGTGTATTTCGGCCACATTGATGAGTGTTGGGTGATCTGTTGCCGGTTGCTGCTGCTCCTGTTAATAATTGTGTGTGCGTGGTAAAATTTGGGGAGGTTTGGTTGCCTTTTCCCTGCCCACAGCCATGTGAAAACTCCTGAATCCACATCCCATATAGGTCGGCAAGACTAAACTGCCGGCTTGGGGGTTTTTCTTTTTACCTGAGCTTCCTGTTGCGACTGTGCCCACACACTTTCACACAATTGAACAAAAATCTTCCCTGGGTGTGGCGTGGGTGCCAAGATGTTGCTTCAGCACTCTAGTAATTGCCTGCCATCTTTCACTAGGGAGGCTGCAAACGCACATCCCCCCCCCCCCCGTTCTTTTTCCCTTTTTTTTTCTTTTTCAACATGTTTTCAAAGTGGTGAAGATCAAATGTAGAGGGGTTTTTTTTAAGATCACATCACTGCAAACTACCACATTCGGTAAAATTAAAAAGAAGATCCAAAAATAAATAAAACTGAATGTCAAAATGACGGTCAAAAGAGCAACGTCAGAACCAAGGCACCAGGCCAGCTGAAGCAAGCTGAAAAGAACAGTCGCTGCCTGTTTGTGGAGTGTTGGGAAAGACCGCTCCCAACCAGCTGCCCGTCCAAGGATGTTTTCAGCACTGGGGGGCAGTGACTGAGAAGACCCTGCCTCTTGGATCCGTGCACACTGCGTTTCTGGAGGGTTAGTTGCAGCTTTCGAAGTACTGTGCGGATGTGCAAAACCACTTCAACCAGAAATCATGGCAAAATCCATGAGCTTGGTCCCTGGCTGTGATGACTAGGCCCCCCATGGTCACTTGGCCATAGGGTCCCTCCAAGCCCCCCTCATCTCCACCTTCACTTCATTTCACTTGGAGTTTGTTGGCGTGGCTGTGTGCTAGCCGCATCCTCCTTAGCTGAATGTATTTCACTTGAATTGAACTTCATGGAGAACTGAGTGCCTTTTCCCATTAGGTTGCCACTGTTCACCAATCTGAATGTCTTGACCTTATGATAGTTTGAGTCATGGGTTTCAGCTGGCCCCAGGAAAAGGGTGTTAGGAGAGCAACCTTCAGGGAGCACTGAATACTGGCTCGTTTGTCTATGAGTTGATGCTCAGAGTTTGGGTCTAAAGAGAGTCAACAGACCTCAGTCTGGCATTGGACAGACGAGCGGGAAGAGATATGAAATACTGACGAACTGGAAAGGTGTGTTGTCTTAGATACCGCCCCCTGCTAGTCTGCGAGCCTAAATGATCTGTAGTTTATGCGATTTAATACAGCTGCTCCTGGGAGAGGAAGTACAAAGTCCAATAGTCATCGCAGAAAGCAAAGCAAATTGTAAGCACAAACCAA